CATTGCCCTCCTTCAAGGACAACTTTCTCAGTAGAGGCTTAGTGACAAGTTTTGTCATCCCGTGTTGGTAACACTGAGTGCAAGTTGCTTCCTTAGCTTCAAAAAGCATGGTTTAAAAGTGCCCAGTGACACAAGCCATGAGAAAGAACAATTCTCGTTTGGTGTCTCATTAAGTGTAACAGACTGATCCTTTAAGATGTTGTATGTAAAGAAGAAAAGAGATTTTGATTTTGCCAGAGTGGTTGCCCACCATGCTGTAACTGCTCTCAGGCAGCTGATGGCTGCATCATCCTGGAGCAATGAGAGCCAGTGACTCCCTAGGGAATGTGATGATAGGAGCCAAGAGGAGTATCACATCTTCCCCTCCCATGTGCAGCACTGCCCAAGCATTTATCAGCAAAGACCTGTAACTAGCAGGCTCTGCTGCCTTAATAACACAGAGGAAAGCTGTTAGCAAGAAAACACTGAGAAGGGGTCAGACTAATTGGAAACAAAACTAAACTTCCTGGGATAGCAAATATCTTGGACTGTTGTGAGTAGCTGTGTTGAAGGTTGCTGGGCTTGGGTATTTGGTAAAAAGATTATGGAAGACATAACTGAATCACTTCCAGAGAGTTCCTGTCTCAGACAGCTCAGTTGTTGTAGAAACCTTTTTAGTTTGGAATCTGTCCCCTCTCTGCTGCAATGGGAAGGCAGGGTTGGGCACTGCCTAGCATTTCTTACAGGCAATTCACATGTTTCAAGTGTCAGCTGCAGTGAGGAAAGAATTTTTTGGCACTTAATTTGCTTCTGTATGTATTTGTGCATTGGCAGATAAAGTGGTATTTGCAAGGCTGGTTTATTGATGACATATATAGCTTGCATGACCAAGGGAGGAGCAAATGAGGCTGAAAACACAGCCTTGAGGGGATACAAAAGCCTTAAATACCACTTCTCTCCCACCTATACTTTCTTTTTACTGCCTCTGCATGATGTCAGATGCTTCAGGGGTAAATGAGTGTTTTCAGAACTCAGCATCTAGGCAAAATTTATTTCAAGCTATACTGTGAAATCTGAAAACATCTACCATGTTTTTTACATTGACTTCCCTGCAACAAATATCCCAGATACTAACATCAGTTATTGTCAGCATTTTGACTGGCTAATAAATAGTATTCTCTAGAGAGGTTTTTATTACTTTTTTATCAACATTTATTAAGCAAAAATTTATCCAACTTCTCAGAGAATGTTAAGCTTTTTTTAACTCTTAGGTAGGTGTGTAATCAATCATCTACTTTCTATTCCTTTAGGTTTCCTTTGATATATATAATTTATATTGCTTTTTTAATTGAATTCTATTGGCTTCTCTTCTGGTTTTTTCTCTCTCTGATGATTTCAGATTAGCAACCCTTAAAAGTTTATCTGAAATAATAATTTATATAAAGTACGTGAAAGAAAATATGGTTGCAGCATGATGAGGGGACATTTATATGCATCTCTATATTTTCTTTTCATATTTCAAATACTGGTTTTACTGTAGTTTCTTGATTTGCATTTGATTATATGTTCCAGAGAAGCTGATGCTGTCCTGAAATATCTAAAGGAACACTGTGGTGCAAAGAAATTAGGGATCATTAGTTTTTGCTGGGGTGGTGTTTCTGTACATCACCTGATGATGACACACTGGGAATTAAAGGCTGGTATATCTCTCTATGGTAGGTAAATACAAGGAGGTAAACATTGTGCATATGCACGTTGTGTAGCTTAAGTACTTGATCTAGCATTATTTCTTCAAATGAGGCTGTTAGTTGATGAAGTATGTATATTTTCAGCAGAGTTGGAAGGATATTATGCAAAGAAGATGGTGGTGAGGATATTTGTTCCTATTTTCAGAATAGGTCATAGCAGCCATGTCTTTATTTTGGATCTGGACAGACATACATGTTGTCCTTTGGTCACCTTCCCGATTTAGCTTCCTTTTTCCTGTTTACTACTTCTCTGCATGCTGTAGAGCTAGAACTTCACCCAGGAACACAGTGTAATCAAAGATTCTGATGATCTATCCAATCTCCTGAATCCTACATTTTTCATTTTTGCCGAAAGATATGACTTTATTCCTCTTCACTGAATATGCTAATAACCTCCATCATTTTTGATTTCTGCATGCTTTAATTTCCATCCTGAATGAGAAATCAAAATGCAGACTCATAATAGTGCTTGAAGACCAAAAGAACCAAGAAGGAAAATGGAGCTAGACATAGAAGGGCTAAGAATGAAATCGAGATTATTTTTTTTCTTAAGTGTCTTTCTTTTGTAAAAGTATGGCTACTAACCCAGGTTAAAAAGTTTTATCAAAGTCCCACTGCTACTTTAGAGTAATCTACTCAGGGAGCTATCCTTTGTTGTATGATAGTTTTCTATCAGTCCTAGGAACCTATAAACTGTGTAGGATACAACAAACCACATCCATAGGTGTTTTTAAGAGGCTTTTTTTTTTTTTCACTGATAATGTCTTTAGCATTGTCATAAATTTCACATAAGAAATACTGCTGTTCTGTCCATATCTTTGCAGATTGTAAGACCTGCCCTCATATTGTAACAAATTGTCCAGAACCTTACTGCAAAAGTGGGTGACACATTTTAACATGCTTTGAAATATTCTCCAGTTCCTTGAGATTTACCTTAATGTTTGAAATAAGTTAGACCAATGGTAAATTAATCTGTTTGTGCGTTATGGCACTGTTTGTCTAAGTTCTGCATAAATCACAAGTCAAAATTCTAGAACACAAATACATTGTTTGGTGAACCTCATTTCTGGAAAAGAGGATTTTTTGACTTGCACCCTGGCAGCAGATATGTATTTAACAGGTGATGTAAGGGGTCTTGTTTCAAAATTTGTAGCTAAGGTTATTCACTTGGTGTGTATGTCCTTTTTCACCCTATCAGTGCTACTGATAAAGACTGTATGGAATTTAATGGGGAGAAAATGTAATTTAGGGAAGTCTTAATTTTACAAGCAACAGTCTCTGAAATTAAATATACTGTCAGAGAAGTATATATTTTAGTATGTCTCACGTAAAAATAGTCAAGAGTATTAATGAACCTTATCTCTTCATGGGATTTAAATTTCTTTTGCTTTTTCCGACATGTTTTCCTCCTTTACATGCTGCTAATGTCCTCCCCACCAGCCCTCCATCTTTCCCATGGGGAGGTTTTCAGAGAATTCTGGACTGCAACTGCTGATTAACTGTTGTTTTTCATATGATACCATCCATATGTAATATATTAATACAGTTGTTATCTGGGTGATACAGCTGTCATAACACATTTTTTCCATGAGAAGAATGTAGAGGCCTAGAAGTTTATTGTACCTTAATTATCCAGTGTCTAACCTTGATAACTCCACATTACTGGTGTTCCATTAGAATTAGAAGGTAAGCTAATGTGTGAGAGGACAATCAGGACATCTATTTAGAGAAGAGCAGTCATTCATAAATGCTGGGACGGCATGCGTGCTGTAACACTAACACTGTGACTAAGCAAAAAAAAAAGAGCCCCCAAACTAAAACAAACTGAGATGAAGCATTTGTTTGAAGCGAAAGGGCAGCTGTGAGCTACTACAAGTACAACCAAATCTTCTTGATAAAACTGTAAGCCACTGAGTAAGAGCTGGACATATGAGATCCAAAAGAGGAGTGTGTTTACAGTGTGAAGTGCAGCCAACTGCATGTACAGAAATCATGGATGTACTGAATTAAGACTTGACTTTCAAGTGAAAAAACAGCATGGATTGCCTATAAAGGCACATGGAACAACAGGAAATCAAATCAAAAGAAGTTTAATTTCTAAAATTTAATGGTATACTAAGGTAGAGGGGAGTAGTCTTATCTACAAATAATTATTTCCAGAGCCACACAACTAAGGAAGTGGAAATGCGTTTAAACAGCTCTAGTGGAGAGAAGGTTCTGCAAGCATTGCTGTCGTTTTTCTTTTTTAGGAATGATGCAAATTCTCAGTTTTTCTCTCATTTATTTGACTACTGTTCTTTAAAGTTGCTATGGAGTATCTAAGCAACTTGTGTCCGATAATTTGTAGTACACAAGTGGGAAAAGCCAGAAACCCAAAACAAAAAAGTTGAGTTTTGAGCCTTATGACTTTGCTCTGTAATTCTTGGGTAGGCTTTTTTGCATTTGTTTACTTCATTTTAGAGATTGCAAACAAAGAGCAAATTTATTTAGAATATGAAAAAACAGCTTCTATATGAAGACTAAATTGTAAGACAGAAGTGTGGTGGGCTAACGTGCATTTAGTCTACTTTTTAGACGTGTCTCTGAGGAAACAGTAAGTTTTGGATTTCTTAATATACTTAGTTACAGCTCTTTAAGGAATAATCCTAATAATCCCATAAAAAGAAAATCAGAAGAATGTGAGGGATACAAAGATCAGTCAGATCCTTTAATTCAAAAAGAAAAAAAAAAAGTATAAGATGTCCTGTGATAGGATAAGAATGTATCACTATTTTAAACTCATTGTACAGCAGTCTACAAAGCTGTTACTTTCTTACATGCTACTTATTTTCAGTTTGAAAGAGAAAATATTTTTCCTGTGCTATGTAAGCTTTGAAGTGGTCTGTACTTTGCTTACCTTGCTGATGACTTTAAATATTTCTTTTACCCATGTATGAATAGTCTAAAGAACTGTTAACGCCAATGTAATGTTTAAAAGTGATAATACCCCAACCTTTAAAAGCAAAGAAACACCCCTAAAAAAACCCCAACAAACAAACAAGCAAACAAACAAAACCCACACCCCACTCCCCAAAAAACAAAACAAAACAAACCAAACCACCCAAAACAAACAAACAAACAAAAACCCCAAAAAACAAACAAAAAACCCACAAACAAAGCACCAAACCAACCAAAAAAACCCACACCCTAAACAGTTTTTTTTTTTCTGGATGGATTGCTCAGCTAAGTCATGCTTAATACTATTTTGTGTGCGCAGCCACAGCAGCGCTCCTCGCCGCAGCACAGCCCGCCTACACTCGCGGTGAAAACGGCGATAAAAAGAATGGACTTGGTCACTGCGCGAGGCACCAAGATAAAGGCTTATGTAACTCTGATTTAAAGAAACAGGATCCCTGCACTCACCCCTTGATTCTGTGCGTTAGCGCTTTCTCCTGGAATCCCATTCATCCACGCTGAGCTCCGGCATCTTGCCTCCACTGTCTCGCACACTTGCTGTGCTGCAGGTATGTGTGGAGGTTTGTTGGTTTTCTTTAAGCTCTCACTGCTTTTGCTTCTGCGAAACGTAGAACAAGTGCGTACTGAGGTCTGACTCAGCATGTTTGCGGGATTTTCATTTTATCTGCGTGCTTTTTTAAGGAGTGCGAGCTCATTTAAATGCAACTGGAGGCTGCTTTTTTTCCTGGGTCTTTTTTTTTAGGTGATGATTCAGAAACCTTTTATTTTCCCTTCAGAGGTTGGGAAGACCTCTCAGCTGAAAGACTCAGGGGAGTGCGTTGAAAATGAAAGTGCCACACAGCAATATCTTTATATTTTTCTGGGTGTAGATTCAAGTATCTGAAAACTAGTTATTGTTTGGTCTCCAAACAAATGCTCAAGTGAAATCTCACAGGATCTGCAATCTAGCTCTGGTAATACTGTTTGGGATATTCTGAATTTTAAAGTCTGCAAATTCAGAAGATCTTGGTCTCTGGAAATCTGTGCAATTCTCCTGGGTGCCAGATCGTTTGTTTGTTTGTTTTCCTAAAGCTGTCCCTTTAGTGCCACAACTATTTAAGTCCGACTCTTCCAGGAATGCTTCAGTCATCTGCTTTTTTTCTGTTTCTCTCTGTGAGTACATTTGGCACAGTCAAATTTGATCATCTTTGTTTCTGTACTAACAAAGTTTTCTTTGGTAGTACAAACAATTTATCCGTAGAGAGTTTAGGTAAAGCTTTACCTAAATTCTCTTCATGTTGTTTAATCATATGGGCATGCTCTGTGCATATTTGATGAAGTTATTCAGTTCAGTTCACTCACTTGGTTAACCTAAGGTCGATGGCATTAAATCATTAACTTGAGTCCAAGGAGCTACATACATCTGTGTTAGATTCAGCTGACACTTTTTGACCTTTGTGAATTGTTTATTTTCATTTAAGCAATAGTTTGAAAAAAATTAACCATACCATTCTGTTACCTTCTTGATAAAAGCTTTGGCTCAACTTAAGGATTTTTTTCGCTATCTCGGAGTTTGAATGTGTTCTTTATTTAATATTAAATAAATAAGATTTTATACTCTGACTTTTGCTGGTATATTTTTCTTAACACCTCTCCTAAGTATCCTTGTTCAGAAGTCTGCAACATCTGAGGCTAAAGCTATTTAGAAAAAGGATTTATTGACATTAAAAAAGTCAGCTATGGAATATTTTAACTCTCTAGAGGAAAATATTTAGTCTGAGTGTAATTATATCTTTCTGTACAGTAGCTGGGTTTTTTTTTCCTTCAAAATACTAAGTCTTATATTAAGCCTTTGCAGTGTATACTAAAGAAAGTCATACATTCCTGACAGGAAATACACATGATGAAGAGTGAAAGAACTGTAAAAAGAACTTCTATCACTAAGCAAATAATTTGTGATGGTTACCTAACTGCTTGCTCATAACTTTATTTTTATTGCATTACTTATGGTAGGGCAAGGAACTCCTAGGTATGCGCTTGGTCCCTTCTGAAATGTTCATAAGTAACTCTAACAAGATTCTTATTTGTAAAAACCACCCCAGTAGCGCTTATTGACTAATGCTACATTTTAGATAAAACAGTTATGAGCATGTTCACCATATTACTGTAATCATACCACTGTCTTTTGGACTTTTTAAGTATGATATGCTTTGGTATTCACAACTGAATATTTTTTGTTCTTCAGTATCACACATGGCTAATGAATCAAGGCCCTGCCCATGTGACATTGGAGACAGGTTTGACTATGGAGGCCGTGGGCAGGAGGTACAAGTTGAGCACATCAAGGCTTATGTTTGCAAACCATCTACCAGCACAGACAAAGCCGTGATTGTGATTCACGATATATTTGGATGGCAACTCCCAAACACCAGATACATAGCTGATATGCTAACAACTAATGGATACATGTAAGAAATACTACTGTTTTCAAAGTGTCTTTTTAGTAAGAAAATTTGTTGAGCCACTGTTTTCATTTAAACCACACAGACACTAATAATTTCATAGGTTTTCCTTACAGCTTTCTCTAGCAACTTGCCCATTAAAACAGTGAAAAAAATTCTAAAATAGTTCAGTAGTCCTACCATAACGAGTTAGTAGGTAAGCACAGAAGGTAGAGATAAATGTTATTCTGCATCTTCCATCTTCCATGAAACAGCCTGCTTCCTCCCTCTTTTGCAAATTTGCTATTATGGTAAAAACTGCAAAGAATCATAGAATAGAATCATAGAATCATAGAATAGATTGGGTTGGAAAAGACCTCCAAGATCATCAAGTCCAACCCCTGATCCAACTCTAATTACTATATCATGGCACTAAGGGCCATGTCCAATCTCTGTTTAAAAACCTCCAGGGATGGTGAATCCACCACCTCTCTGGGCAGGCCGTTCCAATGCCTGATCACCCTCTCTGCAAAGAATTTCTTCCTAACATCTAACCTAAACTTCCCTTGGCAGAGCTTGAGCCCATGTCCCCTTGTCCTGCTGTTGGTTGCCTGGGAGAAGAGATCAACCCCCACCTGGCTATAACCTCCCTTCAGGTAGTTGAAGAGAGTGATGAGGTCACCTCTAAGCCTTCTCTTCTCTAGACTAAACAAGAAGCTGAAGGTCTTCCAGTGTGGTTAAAGTGTAACAGCTTGTGCCAAAGAAAGAAACAAATTCTCAAATATTTGAAAAAGCACATTTGGTATTGTCTTTCCTGTATTACTGGGTTGGTGTTCCTTCTAGCTCAAATGTACATACCATGTGTTTGGTTGAGTTTTTTTTTAAGTTTGGTAGGAAGCCACTAAGGATTTTCAGTTACAGTTAGCTATTTATCAAATTAATGAATAAATTTTAACAGGGCAAAATGTATCTGCAAATTATACTAAGTCTCCTGATTAGATGTAAAAAAATATTGAGGGTTGCTGGTATAATGCTTTCATGTAGATCAAGTACTATGTATATTCAACAAAACGAATTTGTTGTGTAGTACACATGGACTTTGTTTTAATCCTTTCTCATTATTATCTCATGGGCATAAAATATTTTCATTTTTCTTACAGAGCCATCTGCCCAGATTGTTTTGTGGGACAAGAAGCTTGGAAACCTTCTAATGACTGGGGGACTTTCAATGAATGGCTGAAAACCCGAAATGCCGGCAAAATAGACAAGTACAACCGTTGTTCCTTGTCCAGCGAGTGGACATCCTTATTTCATAGGGATTTTTGCCTCAGTAAAGATGTAGCATTAGATCCTAAATCATTAGTGGGTCAAATATAGTTGGATGTCCACAAAGAGAAATTTCATGCAGCTTATGGGATAAGTTCACGGTTATGTGAGGAGTGCTTTTTGGAAAAAAGCAGAAGTTTGAACAAGAATAAAAGCACCCACTGTTTACCTATACAGAGAATAGAAGTGAAATGAGTGACTGAAATGAAAAGAACTAGCAAAGGCTAGAAAATGCAGCTCATTCCTTCCTCTTCAGTTTGATTCATTTCCCGCAGGTAGGCATAACTTCCATGGATATTAGATAGGGTACAAGTGCAGTCACCAAACACTATGTGACTATGGAACAGCTAGTTCAAAGCACACTAATTTCTCATTCTCCTGTATTTCATCCATTTTTATCTGACACATAGCTTGATTGCATAATATTTCTGGTGATTTAGAAGTAACAATTTGCTTCCACAATTTTATAAACTATTTGTCTTCCTGGTGAGAAATAGTTTAACTATAGGTCATGTTTGTGATAATGGGATGCTCTTGACTGGCTGTGTGTCTCAAATTTGTGTTAGCCTATATGAAAACTATTGCCATTTGTGAATTTAATTGGACTGATGTTTATAAAATCACCTAATGTCCTAGTAACAGTGATCTAGAAAGACTGACTTTCTCCTTTATCTTCTCCCCTGGAGTTTCTTCTGTATTTTAGAAATGAATAAGAGTGAAGTAGTGTTGTGGGTTGACCCCAGCCATCAGCCAAGCACCTGTAATGCCATTCACTCACTCCCACAGGGGAAAGAATAGGAGAAACAAAGAAAGAAAACTCATGGGTTGAGATAAAGACAATTTGATAAGTAAGGGAAAGAGAAAAATCAGGAGCGATGTAAAGACAGCCAGTCTCTGAGCAGCAGCCACCACTGAGGCCAGGGGAACAGAACTAGAGCCTTAATTCACTTTCATTTGTATGTCTCAGAGAGGTTGATGTCATCCTCAAGTATCTAAGGGACCAATGTGGTGCAAAGAAGATTGGTGTCATTGGGTTTTGCTGGGGTGGAGCAGCTGTGCAACATCTGATGCTGAAAAATCCTCATTTAAAGACAGGGGTGTCCATCTATGGTAAGTCTGAGATACCTATTACACTCTGAGCAGACATGACTGGTGCAGGAACTAATTCTGTAGGGCTATTACTGTAACAAAATTCAGTGTCATATCTAGTGGATGGAAGAAGGTGATTTTGTTACACAAAACCTTTAAGTGAATTGATTTAGCACACTAACATTTTTGCACTTAATCATAACCAGCAAGATCTATGTATTTGAGTGGCATGACCAGGATCACTTCTGTGCAATATAGCATTCAAGAGACACCAAATGCCAAGGCCTCACTGTGGCTGAGGTTCCTCTTGGCTGGCAGTGACAAAAGGGTTTCTGGGCACTTCTTTTGAATCTTTTAGGCAGTGGTCCCTCGTTATTAGTAGGAACCATTTTTTAACTCCTTGTTTTAACCCTTGTACTCTCACACTTTAGTTCTCAATACATTATGTTACCTTTGATATTTCTGTTATAAACCTCTGTACTTCCACATAATCCAGAACAATTTATATTAATTAGAGGTGAAAGAAAGTTGGAAGTATTTTTTCCAGAAAGCTTATGGGGACTATTTTGCTGCACTGATTTGCTGATCAGTTTAGTCAATTCAACAATGGTACTTGCTAATTTTTTACCTTTCTTTTGTAATAATCTCAGGAATGAAGAGTAGCCAGGGTGGTAGCTGCCTAGTTTTACTTTACTTAAATTCAAATATATTTGAACAGTCAAAAATGCAGTGTCATCTGTTATGAATTCATATCAATATACATACACTGAAATCCTAACAGTGTATCTGGAATGCTGAATATTTACAATTATCTTAAAAATGGCCTTCCCAGGCTAGAGGCAAGAAGCTCCTAAGTGTCCATCTTTCACAGAATCCTGTCTCTGATAGTCGTCAGAAGCAGTTGCCCAAAGAAAACCACAAAAATGGGGCAAGTATAACAATTAGTTCCTGATTTTTCACACAGAACTGGTCTTTTTATGTTTAATAATGTCCCAAACAGTCCCACAATGAAAGCAAAGTGCGTTTAATTCCATTACAGACTGAGCAGCTCTCACTGATCAAAATATCTTGTAGTTTGACTGTACAGATTTAGTAGTTTTAGCGACTTTAGGTAGGATGACTCATTGTATATGCCTCTCCTTCTTCCCTAGGAGTGATCAGGCATTTTGATGACAAATCCAATTTGCTGCATCCTACCTTCTTCATTTTTGGTGAAAAGGATGATGTAATCCCATTGGAGCAGGTGAGTTTCTCATCAAAGATTTTTGCCTTTTTTATGCCTTTCATGCTTGTTTTGTAACTTGGTATTTAATGAAGAGAAAGTAGAAAACTAATTTGCACTTTTCTTCCCCTTTCACTAACTCTTACAGTATATCTACACACATTTATATCATTTATCCCCCAAATCAAAAAGTTGTACAGTGATACTAAAAATGTTTTCTGTTTCTGTTCAAAAACATGGATGATTGTCATCAGTTCCTAGGAAGAGAGCTAGAATTCAAAAAAGACTTCTGTCAAGTTCAAGATAGCAAACCCTCTTTAGTGATACCAGTAAAATCAGCAGAAAGTTCCCACCTGTATCATGGAATCACTAGTTACAGGAGAATTAAAAAACCCTATGACTAGACTTTTTCCTTCCCCTCTGTCCTGCAGAGCTTCTCCTTTCTGATACTCTGTCAACAGCCTTTCTCTGGAGCATGGGTGGAGAATGACTGGAGAAAGATGATTATCTACCAAGGGGATCAAAGAGGAACACATGTTTTTATTGAGTGGTGTTGGCTTTAATTTTCCTACCAAAAGTGCCAGCTGCTTTGAACTGCTGATTTTGTATCTATGCCTCTCCTCCCTCAATTTTAAATTAATTCAAATTCTTGCCCCAATTTTTCTGTTTTTGGTGTGAGGCCTATCAACAACAACTTGTACAGTAATCACTACATGCTAAGCTTCTCATGAGCTGAGCAATAGGTGTTTTCACCTTTACAGGTATTATTACAGCAACCCATATACTTTTTTGACATTTTATACAGTCATATGCTGTTATTTTGCTGGAGAAAAGCAAGTGTAGAAATAGAAATGCATTTAGATATAAAATTAATAGAAGAGGAAACAGTGGCAAGGACACACCGTGTCTGTCTTCCAGAAAAGTAAAAAAACCCAGGACAATTTGAGGACTGTAAGTATAGAACGTGTAACTTTGTACTCAGTCAACATGGCACATTCTGTGTTACAGGTCACCTTATTGGAGGAGAAGCTTAAACAAAACTGTAAAGTTGATTATGAAGTTAAAATTTACCCTGGACAGACGCATGGGTTTGTGCATCGCAAAAGAGAAGATATCAATCCTCAAGACAAACCTTATATTGAGGAGGGAAGAAAGGATATGATCAACTGGCTGAATAAATATCTTTAGCTTAAATTAATGCCCATAAACAAAATCAATTCTTCTAGGAAATCAGAACATGATACAGACTGTATTGCTTAAAATGTTCTTGCAAACATAAAAGCTTTTTATAAAACTCTTCTTCAGTAATACTACTTATTTGCACTTACCTTCTAAGTAGAGGATTTTCAAATGCTGAAAGCTATAAATGTAAAAGCTATAAATGTAAATGTAAAAAATATTAAATATAAAATATTAATAAATGTAAAAAATATTTTGAAAATTAATCTTGTGTATCTTAAAATTATTAGAATCTCATGGCATATTTTATGGCATCTGAAAGTTTCATTTTTTTTATATCAATGTCAACATGATTAAAAATCTTTAAAGGTCTGCCCATGCTTGAGAAATTCTCTCATTAAAGCTGTGTTTGGTGTTGTTTAGCTGTGACATTTTCAGCTCCAAGATTTTCAACTTTTAGGTAAATATAGTCTGTGTTGGAAGGCTGGGATGTTTTCTTGGAAACAGAATATTCTTTCTAGAGTTTATAAAAAGCAAGCTAGAAAAAGGAAGGAGAAGGACAATGGGAAGAAATATATGTGAACTGAAAGGGAGCAGCAAAAAGTTAGGAATCATAACTGAAGAGACTAGAAGAATATGCAGGACCAGAGAAGAAGGAGAATAGGACACAATGAGACTGTGAAGAGTAGGAAAACTCAGAAGAGAAAGAAGAACAAAGAAGGAATAGGAGACTACTATCATATATACACAGAGCATAGGAAGAAGATATGAGTGAAGGTTTCCAATCTCCTTCCACTTCCACACTGGTCTAGTAGGGGGAGAGTTCAGAACTCTTCAGAACCCTCTTTGATTTCAGAACTCCTCCTTGGGTAGGAGTTTCTTGTTGGCTGCCAGCTTGTTATTATCTACTCCATGGCTGTCAACTGACTTCTGAATAATCTGTTTTCATATCTTTCAGGCATTATGGGTAGCCTAAAAGCACTACCAGTGCCTTCCTTACACTGTGTTGTGTTTTAACCCTAGCCAGCAGTGAAGCCTCTTGCAGCTGCTTGCTCACTCCCCCACCAGTGGGATGAGGAAGAGAATTGAAAGGGTAAAAGTGAGAATACTCGTGGGTTGAGACAGTTTAACAGATAAAGCAAAAGCTACAAGCAAAGCAAAACAAGGAATTAATTTACTGCTTTCCATGGGCAGGAAGGTGTTAGCCACCTCCAGGAAAACTGCTCCATTACGTGTAATGGTTACTTGGGAAGAAAAACACTGTAAGTAAGAATATCTTTTCTTCTTCCTTCTTCCCCCTTCTTTATATGCTGAGCATGATGTCATATGGTATGGAACATCTCTTTGGTCAGTTGGGATCACCTGTCCTGGCTGTGTCTCTTCCCAATTTTCCATTTTCCCAGGCCTCTCACAAGCGTGGCAGTATCAGAAGCAAAAAAGGCCTTGATTCCGTGTGAGAACTGCTCAGCAATAACAAAAATATCTCTATATTAATATCTCTGTGTTTAACACAAATCCAAAACATAGTTCCATACTAGCCACTGTGAAGAAAGTTAACTATACTTCAGCCAAAACCAGCACACGTGGAAGGACTGGCCTCTGTGTAGGTCCTCCTCTGGGGACATCACGTCTGCCTGTGCAGACAGAGACCTCATGGATCACAGAGGTGCTTAAGCTCCCAAGGTAAATTTCAAACCTGCCCACGTCTAGTTATTCTGGTTTAATTTTTCTTCCCCCCATACACCTGTCCTTCTGTTTCCACTATGAAATTATTTCATGCAGAATATAGTTAAAATTAACTATTGTGAAGTTTGAAGCAAACAGCTCTGGACACTTCAGTCTTTACTGGGCTTTTTGATATTAGTTCTCCTTCCTCCTAATAATGAGCACCTTTCTTTTGCTCTTCTTTCATTTTTTGGTGCATTTACAAATATTTTTACAGTTGATAGTTCTGTGTCACTTGATAGAAGTAAGCTACTTTGCTGCCTTAGCCTGTCTTCTGAACATCATTCAGAGTTGAATCTAAACCAACATGGATGGCAACACAACCTCTTCACCTCCATAAATCCTTCCTGTATCATCAGGTTTCTCTCTGCTGTGATTTGTGTATCTGGATTGGTAAGGCACAGCCCATTCCCAGTGACTACAGGAATATTCCTGTGTTTCAGCTGCTTTGGACCTTCCCAGTGTGATTCCCAATAATCGTGTGGTGAGGTCTTGCCTGCATTTGCGATGCTGAGGAAGTAGATGTGGCTAAAATACTGTATTGAACATGGCCCAATTTCCCCTCAGTGGAATAGATGGGAGCCTGGGGAATCCTCAGCTTTCACAGAATGTTGCACTTCAAGGTACAGCCTCTCAATTGTTTCCACTGCCCCACCATATTTTTCTTTTCGCAGTTGCTGCTGCCAGCCATGACTGGCAACTCTCTCATGAAGACACATTCCCTCTGGCTCTTTCATAGCTGAGGGCCAGCCCAAAGTAGTCTGTGGTGGGGCTGCATCTGTCTGTGTGTCTGAACTCCACAGTGTATCTGCTTTGGAGTGTCTCACCAGGTGGGTCCCACCTCAGGTCTCAGATCCCCAGCAGTCCTTCAGCCATCCCTCCATCTCAAGCCCCTTCTTCACATCACTCCTTCCACTTTCTCCTGCAATGTACCATGTATCTCCTGTGAGAAAATAGATCTTTCTACATCACACTGAGTTGATATTGAAGAAAACCTATCATTTAAAAACATTTCATGCAGAGCTCTGAAGTCAAAGTGCAAAATCTTCATTTGTTCCTTGGGTCATGCCCTTGGTCAGTGATTAGTGCTGTTTTCTGGTTTGGGCACTTTGCATGGTGTTTCCATGGTGCTTCCACCAATCTTCTTGCTGATTGATTTCAGGAGAGATTAGCCTGTTCTTAGTCGGTCCAGCCAGTGCAAGGCAAGCCTCTTCAGGTCTGCAGGGCATTTTGCCACGAGTCATGCTGGTGGAAATAGTCCTTCCACATCAGAGGTGAGAAGTTTCATGATGCTCTTGTGCTGGATCTGTGCAGATTCCCAATGACCTATAGACAGAGGGAAGGGTCAGACAGTGGCTTCTGTGCTTCCTGCCAGTCCTGACATGGTTCTTTACTCGGCCTGTAGAAGAGAAGCAGTTTCACATGGGAGAACTGCAGACACCTCCCTTCACTGGTGCAGGCACATTTGATGTGTGCCTGTGCAGCTCTAGGTGAATGGAAAGATAACAAGGCACAAATCTTTCCAGAAGAAAGCACCGTGGGTATGTGGTTCAGAAAAATCTGTAAAGTGTAAATTCAATTCTCAGCTGTGGATTCATGCCAAATTTATCACGGTTGCTATGAGAACAGAGAAAGACGACTATTGTCTCATATGGATTTCAAATAAAAAAGCCTTGGTTTCTCAGAAAGTAGTATCTTGGCTGGCAAACCTTTCCAGTTTAGTTTTTTATGTGAACAAACAGATGTATCAGGGATAGGGCTAAGCTTTGCCAAATTTCTACTGAGACAGGAAGACTGAAACTGAAGAATATTTTGTCAAAATTCATTTTCTTAGAGAATTCATAATCACTGTCTCTATGACAGGTATTCCATTTCATTATATATTTGTTTTTGTAGAAAAAAACAGTTGGGGTGCATTAGGAAGAACATTGCCAGCAGGTCGAGGGATGTGATCCTGCTCCACTATATCACAAGTGAGGCCACATCTTGGAGTGCTGTGTCCAGGTTTGGCACCTCAGTACAAGAGAGACATGGAGCTCCTGAAGCAGGTCCAGGGAAAAGCATCAAAGATGATTAAGGAGTGGTAGATCTCTGTTATGAGGAAAGGGTCTGTTCAGGCTTGAGAGGACACGACTGAGAGGGACCTTATCAATGCATATAAATATCTGAAAAGAGGGTGCCAAGAGGATGGAATCAGGTTCTCCTCTGTGGTGCAAACAATAGGACAAGAAGCAATGGGCAGAAACTGATGAACGGGAAGTTCCACCTGAATACGAGGAAGAACTTCCTTATTGTGTGAGTGACTGTGCACTGGAACAGGTTGCCCAGAAAGGCTGTGGAGTCTCCCTCACTGGAGATATTCAAGAACTGCCAGGCCCTGTGCCATGTGCTCTAAGATGACCCTACTTGAGCAGGGAGCTTGGATCAGATGACCCACCACCATCCCTTTCAACCTTACCCATTCTGTGATTCTATGATTCTGTGAAATACAGTATCTAAGACAGAAAACTCAGAATTTTGCAAGCGTTAACATTTACTTTACTAAAAACCCACACACACATTCTCAAAACTTGGATTTGAGAATATTCTTTGTATTTAGAGAGCACTGACATAAAGGTGTGTAGGCTAGACACTCCAAACCCAGGTTTGTAACGTTGGGTTGTACTGAACCTGGCAGTCTTGATATGAAGTAAATCAGCTGCAGAGAAGCACCAGACTGGACATAGTAGGAATATGTAAGGCCTGATTAGGGCACTCCACACAGACACTTTTGTTCCCCTGGATGTTGTGCTGTCTTATTAGTTCCTTCCTTTTAAAAGCCTTTTGACCAATTTTAACTTAATTTGAAAAAATAGTGAAATACTCCGTGCTGTTTAATTCTACATTTTTAGGAAATTTGGACACCACAGAGAAGACAGACTCTCTGCACTGATCAAAACAGCATGGCATGGATTCATCAGTTCCCTGTATTATTTAGGTTGTTGACTGGCTAGTCAGCACACAGAAAGCCTGCACTGCTTGAGTAGGGGTTGTCAGAGTCTAAGGAAATGTTGGGGCAACCAAGATGCAGGGGAGTAGGAGGGCATGGGCTGAGGGTAACTGGGGATATGGAGAACTGAGACCCTATTTGGGGCAATCACATGGTACGGGGATGAAATGGAAGGGAGAATCTGGAAGACCCCTAATGCCAACTTTTGTAGACCGGGTTGGATTTTGGTCACTGAGAAAGTGTTATACTGAGGAAGGCTTCTGGCCTGAAGGCAAGGAATCCTTGATGCCTGAATAAAGAAGACTGAATGGACTAAAGAGAAAGAGGTGTCACAGAAGAAAACCTCAGGCTCTGGAAATAGAACAACAGAACATGGTGGAGGTCAGTCTTGATGA